AAGGTTTTTTTGTTTTTGTTTTTGTTTTGTTTTTGTCTTTTAACTGAAATTTGAGCCCTTGTGCTTAGATTCTCATGCCTAATGCCTTTTAGTTCAGCAACAGTAGGAACTATGTTCTCTTCATGTCTTCCGTGGTATCTAGCAACGTTCTGAGTAATATCAGAGAAACCTGCAGCACATATCAGCATGTGTAGGGGCTGAATATGTATTTGAGTTACAGCACATTTATAGATTTGGGTGGTTATATTTATTTTAATTTGTGGAAATTTTTCTTTTAAGTTTGGGTGTTATCAGTGTCATTCAGATAACTGCTGCCAAGGGTTGAAATATTAGTGTCTGAGTTGGAAAGCAAGAAAATTGATGGCTAATGAAGAAAATGCAGGTGAAGAACTGAACAAGGCAATTAATCAAAGTGTAGTGAAGGAAGAGCTGGTAGTACAATGAAGAGAGAGATAGGCTTCTGCTCTTGCATGGGAAGCAAGAGGATCACTAAAATCAATTGGCTGCTAAGAAGTCTGTTTATACTTCATAATCATGGATCTTTCTAATAATTATTGCAGAGTGCCAGTACAATCATTTGCCATTAGTTTCTCTGCAGATTTTTTTCCTACACTGAAATCTATTGGTTTTGTCTAATGCTTGCCACTTAATAAAGTTTCAAAAGAACTTGCTCCCAGAAAGATGCATACATAAGCAATATAAAACCATCATCTTATGTGAATCCATTGTACTTTTTAGATATCTCCTTGTTGAAGGTAATTGAGTTTAGTAAATGTCTTTTAAGAATGTGCTTTATTTTAGTGCTAGATATTCAAAAATACAATATACTTAATATCTAAATATTAAGTACCAGGGATCAAACTCAGGACATTGTGCTTGTGAGGCAGGCATGGTGCCACTGCACTAAATCCCCGGCCCCATAAAGTTTTTTTAAGGGGATAACTTAGCCATTCAAATTAAAACTAATTCTGTGAAAAATGGTAGAGCATCCTGACATTTACCAAGGTATATTTAAAATTATTTTTGAACACCTTATATGCCCACAGAGAATTCACTGGTCTAAGGATGGAACAGAAACATCTTGCACATTGAAAAATGTCTATGAGAACTGATATTGAATGACCACTTTTTTTAAAACCCAGCCAATCTTATTATTTAGATGTCTATTTCTCTTTATTAAAATGTTTTGAAACTTAAGTAAGAAGATTTTACCTGTGACACCAAAAAGTGTCATCTTAGAAGTTTCCTTTGATCTCTAATAAGCCTTCCTAGTATTTGGTTAATATTCTTTGTATTTGGAGAATCAGCAGTTTTAGTTCATAGCCACACAGTTTAAAAACAGGTATACTTATGTTTGCATTTGTCATGTTGGGTTTCCCAACCTATGAGTTTATTAAAGTTAGTCATTAATCACTAATAATACATATTAAATGTTAACTTTTTTCATGAGGCATATAAAACAACCCATTTGTAGTATATTCGGAAGGACACAAAACATTTTAGTGTTTTAAATGTGGAGAGTTGTATGACAGAGTAAAGATAGCATTATCCAAAGACTACTCTATTGAGATGACAAATTGTGAAAAAAAAATAATTTATATTTCAGTTAAAGGAAATTAATTTGCATGTCCTTCAAATGTAAAATATACCTTAAATTTGTGTAGTACAGCTATGCTTTGAAAGCTACTTAATAAAATATTAAGTACTATTTAGGTAATAAAATTAGTAGTGACTTCAGAAATTTCATATAGCATAGCATAAGCTAATTTTTTAAATGATTTATCAACATTGGCAGAAAGGCTGTTTACTTACATAAATGGGCAAATGTAATAATGACTTATAATATAAAACTGCTTATTTGAAGTTATAACTCATTTATGAGTCCTTGTGGTTCTGTCTAGTGTTCTGGTGAATGTGCATATGTGAATGCCCCTGTAAGTAACTCTGGTCCTGGGAATTTATCTATCGTTGACTTCGGTATTTAGTTAGCCTGGTTTCTAAGGCCATCACAGTAATTGCCATGTTATTGGAAATAAAGTTAAATTTTTCATTATTTATAGGCATAACTTCAATTTTGAAGAATGTAAATCATTCATAGTTGGCTAGAAGCCAATTCCTCCTTCACTGTAACTCTAGCACACCCATGAAAAGCGTGCTCGTGTCCTAAGTGCCTTGTGAATCTGCAGTGATTAATTCTTCTCATTATTTTGCTGCAAATTCTCATGACCCTCTGTGATTCGATCAGCCACTTAAGAGTTTATGCATATTCATATCTCTGCTACTGCTGCTGTCGTCCAAGTCTCCTTGGCTGACTGGGGTGTTCTTGGTGCAGTAATTGAGCTACAGTAGATTGATTACTCTGGGGAGCTGTAAGGCCTTTAAAGGTGAAAACATATCAGAGTCCTGTTAATTAGGAAACAAAAGCTCTGATGGCAAGTTGAGCAGTCAAATGTTTTCAGTGTAGAAAAGATGAAAGATAGGATTTGTTCTTCTCCACAAACCCTGCTTACCTTTTAAAATTTATGTTAAGTCTATATACTTGATACAGAACAAGAACTTTCTTTTATGAATTTTCATAATGTTAATTGAAGAGATTAGTTCTATTACCTGTTCTCAAATCTGATAATTTAGAACCTAACAAAGTTTATTTATATCTTCTCTAACACTGATTTTGTATATATATATAATTTTTTTACTTTCTTTTGGTACTAGGGAATCGAACTCAGGACTTTGCACTTGTGAGGCAGGCAGCAGCACCACTGAACTAAATCCCCAGCCCTTACATTGGTTATATTTAGTATTTTATATAAATGCAGAATATTTGTAAATTTTGTCTTTTAAGGGCTTATTTTGTGGGGTAATTTTTGTTTTGTTTTTAAAGCACTAGCACGCCTCACACGTGCTAGACAACCACACCACCACTAAGCAATACCCTCAGCCCTTTATGGGCCTAATTTAGTGTATGGTTTTCTAATACTAAATTGCCTTCTATCTCTTTTAACGTTAGTGTTCTGATTCTTTGCTTCTTTAACTATATATCAAGTAATATATAGCAAAAAGGGTCCCGTGTGAAACAGTATCCTCCAAGAATAAACTAGTTTTCAGCAGAGGGTTATGCAGGTTACCTATTTGACATACAGTGTTATTGGATATACTGTTTTTTATGGTATCTCCTATCATTTTTTTTCTTTGAGATATAAATCGCACACCATAAAATTCATCACAGACTAATCTGAGACCATTTTCTTCACCCTAAAAGAAAACCCCATTCTCGTTACCCATTACTTCTCATTCCCCTCTCTTCCTAGCCCCTGGTAAGCAATAATCTATTTTCTATCTCTATGGATTGCCTATTGGATATTTTATATAAATGGAATTGCTCTATGTATAGCCTTTTGATCCTGCCGCCTTTTACTGCGCGTGTTTTCAGGATTATCCATACTGTAGCATGAATCAGTACTTCCTTTTAGGACTAAATAATATTCTACTAATAGCCAACGTATTTGTTTTCCAGTGATATCATTGATGTATTTTTTGGTACCAGGGATCAAACTTGGATACTCGTGCTTGTAAGGCAGGCAGTGGAACCACTGGGCTAAATCCCCGGCCCATTTATGTTGTTTCTATATTTTAATTGCTGTGAATGATGATGCTAATAATGCTCATAAAAATTCATGTATCTCAACTGGAAACTCAATAAAGAAGATGTGGGGCTTTTATAAAATGGAGTATTACTCAGCCATAAAGAACAAGAAACTGGAGACATTTATAGCTAACTGGATGCACATTGAGGTCATACTCTTCAGTGAAATACATAGGACACACGTGTAAATACTGAATAGTTTCTCTGGTATGAGAAACAAAGTGTAAATAAGGATTTAAATGTGCAATAGATAATGTATGATAAGGAGAAAAGGTCCAGAGGGGAAGGGAAGTAAGGGCAGGGGGAAGAAAGGGAGGGAGGGAGGAAGGGGAGAAGGAAGGAGACAGAGATGGAGGGAGGGAGAGAAATAGGGAGAGATGGAGGACAGGGAATTTGGTTCAGTGGTTCTGCTACCTGCCTTTGCGAGCACCAGGGCCCGAGTTTGATCCCCAGTGCTGCAAAAAAAGATGGAGGGGGGAGATGGAGGAGTTGAAGGGAGGGCAGGGGAATGGGGAAAAAATAATCAAGATAAGCCAGGCGTGGTAGTGCACGCCTGTAATCCCAGCACTTGGGTGGCTGAGGCAGGAGGATCGCTGTGAGTCTGAGACCAGCCTGGGCTACATAGTGAGTTCCAGGTCACTCTCAACTACATAGTGAGACCCTGTCTCAAAAAACCAAAAAAATAAAAAAATAAAAGGATATATCATGTAGGTCCGAGGATTTAGCTCAGTGATTCCACCGCCTGTCTCAAGCATAAGGTCCTGAGTTCAGTGCCTGATACCAAAAAAAAAAAAAGATACATCACATAAAGGTACAAATTCCCAATGATGAATGCCATCATATTGTATACCTAAAATGTACCAATAAACTTAATGAATTAAAAAAAAATCACATATGTTCTTACCTAGTTCTTGATCTTAGGGGGAGAGTTTTAGTCTTCAACATTGAATATAATGTTTAGATGGTATTTCTTAAGTGCTGTTTATCAGGGTGAGGAAGTTCCCTTTTATTCCTAAATTGTTGATTGTTTTTATCATGAAAGGTTGTTGAAGTATGTCTTGAGAGGGTCATGTGGTTTTTATCCTTTATTTTGTGAATAAAGTATATTACATGAGTAATTACATGAGTAAATGTTGTTCTCTACAGCTGGTTTTTTGATTTTTGCTTTATATTTTGGAGACAAGTTGTCTTATATTGTGGAGGCTGGCCTCGAACTCTTGGTCCTCTTGCTTCAGCCTTGTAGAAGCTGGGATTGTAGGAGTACACTGCACTCAACATCTTAGAACTTTTATATAATGTTCCTTTACTGTTTTAATGTTGAAGAGTGTGAACCCAATTCCTCTACTTTATATTTCAGGCATTTATTAATACAGCAAAAGAAATTTATGAAAAAATTCAAGAAGGCGTCTTTGACATTAATAACGAGGTATATACATGTAAATGTTGGTTAACAATTTAGAATTAACTTTTATTTACTGTTTGGATTCATGATTTTATGTTTGCTAAAGTCCTAAAATGTATTGATAATAATTAGTTAACACATTAGTTAGCAGTCATCTAACTGAAAACCTATTATATGTAGTACACAGTTAAATGTTTATGTTCTAGTAGAGCATCACTTTGTCAGTGAAAACGGATTAGAGTAAGAGGTCCTATCCATTTATTGCATGTAGTGCAAAATAATTTAAATCCCCCAAAGAGCAAAGAAAATCCACTTTTATCCACATGTCTATATGGCATCATCTGTTTGGGGAGTAATAGTGTACTATGTGAATGCATGTACTGTGTCACCAATGCAAGACGCACTCTGTTTTCTGGTATAAAAGGAGGACAGTCCTAGTTTGGAAATTATTCCAAGTATAGCAAAGATTGTTTTGGGGTGATTAAATTAATGTATACAGTTGGTGATTATCAGTGGGTTTTTGCAATTTTGACAGTTTTTGGTCATTGTGATTAGGATAATATGTAAAATTTTGAAGTATACAATTCATAATATTCACTAGCTATCATTTTGAGTCAAATCCCCACTCTACATTTATTCTTATTTCAAAATGTTTATCTGAATAGAGAATGTTATTTTCATTACATAAATATTCTTACCAATCTATATTAAGACTTCTAGCTCATAAGAGAAGAAAAGCTAGTTCCTACCCCAGTTGCAATTAGAAAAGTTCTGTGAAGCTATCACATAATATATCTCTTGGCTTCTACATACACTCAGCTTTCTAGTATTTGCCTCAGTAATCTCTACTAAAACAAACAGTAGTTTACTAAGGTTTCCAAAAAGTAGTTTTATCATTCCTTTTTGTTTGCAATAATATGCTTTCTACATCCTGTCTTCTAGACTTATATGGCAGTACTTCTGAGTTAATTTAAAAGTGGTACCATTCAGAAACTAATGCCTTATAAATTGAACAGTAATTGAGCCTCTATTTAAAAGGGCACATTCATTGTTTCTGTCTGGTTTCATATAGTAGCTGACTGCTGTACTGTGCCTTATGCAGCTTTGATTGTAATATGCTGTCAGGAGCCAACAGGCCGTGCTATTTATTTGGCCTAATGCCAAATCTGACTCCTTGATTCCTCAAGAAGTTGCTAGCAGCCCAGAGGAGGCAAAACCAATGAGCCATAGGGCATGCTTTTTATTAAAGAGGAGTCAAAAGAGCGAAAAGAAACCACATCAGCTGCTGTCAATACTGAGCCAGTGCCAGAAACCCCAAGGCTACTACTGTTGCAGAACAACTGCCAAGCGCTATAAATCTGAGATTTACTGTGACGTAAAGTTTCCTTAAGAGCTTAATTTCTGAAGCTACTGTATTACTTTTTTCAAAGTGTTGTATTTTTAGGTAAAATCCACTTGAGGGAATGAGGGTTCAGACATAAGTGTGAGTTTGATGAATGAAAGAACCACTCTGTGTGTGGGTTCTTGGCAACCTGCCATGTCTTCGGGGATCATAGAAATTATTGATGACACAGAACATTCATATGCCCTTAGCCTGTACAGCTGATTCAACATGGAACAGAAATGCTGTCTAGAGAAAAAAATTTTACATCATGTTAGAGCAGCAGGAGCTTTGTATATTTTTATCCTTTAACTATTCCTTGTAATAATTGCTTTAAATAATTTCTCCAATATGAGAACTCCCTGAAAAAGCAGCATTGTTTGATTTTATTTTCCTAGTAAGAATTATTTTCAGAAACATAAAGTGTTTTTAAAAGAAGGAACATCTCCTAAGAGTTTTAATTGTTGTTAAAATTTACTTAAAATGTATCATTAAGAATTAAATGAGTTTTAACAAATCAAATTCTGTTGTCTGGTTGGGTCCACTTACGGTTGTTATTCTCTTCTATTTCAGGCAAATGGCATTAAAATTGGCCCCCAGCATGCTGCTACTAATGCGACGCATGCAGGCAATCAGGGAGGACAGCAGGCTGGGGGAGGCTGCTGTTGAGTCTGTTTTAACTGTCTTAACTGCCCAAGTAGGGCTACTCACTTATTATTTCACCCTCTCTGCTCCTGCTCCACTGAGACATGAAACTATATGAGATGGCTTTGTGTCACAGAAGACTTTAATCCTTCAAATTCTTGTATAACTTTGAATAAATGGTTAATGTTCACTTAAAAAGACAAATTTTGGAGATTGTATTCATATCTATTTGCATTTGATTTCTAGGTCAATTGATGTGATTATTTTTGTTAAATGTTGTCTTGTGCCCTTAACTACAAACTGAATTGTATTAAACACTACAAAGTCATCTTGAGTATTTTAAATCAGTTGGTGTAGTTAGGTTTCCCAATACCTGTGGTTACCTAATGTTTAATACTACAGAACTGTCCTCAAAAGTTTGTAAATTTTCAAGGCTATAAGGAAAAGTAGAAGGACTCTTTTATTTCTGTATTTATCATTTACTTTCTGTATATATAGTTTAATAACCTGCTTGGGTGTAATTTGCCAAGCTTGAATTCTTTAATGCATTTGCATAAATTCTCCACTGTTTAGAGCTTAAAGCTACAGAAGCATTGTTAGGAATTGCTTGGACATTGAATTTTAAATTTTTTGACATTGTTAAACAAGCATGTTCATCTTTTCTTGTCACTAGTTCAAGAAAAATATGCTTAATATATACTACTAAAGGCTACTTGTGTGTTAACCTGTTTTAATGCCAAAAGTTTGCTATTTGTCCACATTTTCCTTAAGAACTCTTCAGAAAAGGATTTGTTTGCCTTAATGAATACTGTTGTGTAAAAACGGTATAATGAGTGGAAAGGGCAGAAGCAAGAAAACCCTACATCTCAGCTACTCCAAGAAGAATGAGTATCCACACCTAGATGGCGCATTATGAGGACTTACTCTTTCCTTAAACACAATAATGTTTTCTTTTTCTTTCATTGACATGATTTCTCAGTGTATTTTTCATGCAGGACAGTTTCTCAACCTTGATGTACAGTGACTGTAAAATTTTTCTTTCAGTGGCAACGTATAATCTTTAAGATATGGTAAGCATCTTGTCTGTTTTGAAGGGAATATGACAATAAATCTACTGGATGGAATATCCTGTTAAAAAGTAGAAAAGCTTTAGTAGTCTACGCAGTGTGATGGTTTTATCTTTTTTTTTTCTTTTTCTCCCTTGGTCTCTAATGCAATTGTTATAGCAGTGCAAAATAAAATCCTATGTATAAAAATGTTCCCTTTTTTATGACATCTTTTTTAAAACATTTTTAGTCCATTTTGAGCTTTTCTGTGTATCTAACCATGTTTTTTAAAATGCTTACCCTTTTTAAAAATTTACTAAAATATGAAAAAACTTTCCCTACATTGAAATTCTTATAGAAAATATAAGTACTTTCTGTGCAGTTGGCTCAAGAACACATATGCCTATAAAAAGGCATGAAATTCTAAGCGTGACACTCATTACCACTTACATTCACTAACTGACTTCAACTTTCTACAGATCTTCCCTGAAGATTCAGCAATACTCTTGTCAAAGCTTTGCTGTCGCTCCAATAGAAATCATTAAATGCTGTCGTAGTTTTGTTTTATTGCCTCATTGAAGACAAAATGAAGGGTGAGAGGAAATCTAGTTTTCAATAATATTTTTGTTATAAACTTTTTCCTGAAAGTGGTCATAACAAATTCACTGATCTCACTAGTCCTGCTCTTTACTGATGAATAAGAAAAGAATGTGTTTGTTGTGTACTAAGAAACTATTCTCTGAAACTTTTTAAACTGCTTTTAACTTTTTCTTTTTACATACCACAGAAGTTCTTTTCTAAATCAGTTGTAGCAATCAGTAATAAAAAAATAAGTAGCAACAAATCAACTCCTATATTTTAAAGCCCTAAAAAAAAAAAAAAAAAAAATGGAGCCTTCAGATACAGCTACTGCCACAACTCCCACAGTGTGCTTCAGTCTGGGGCAGTGGGGCAACTTACAGTGGTGCATTTGGTTCCCTTTCTGCAAAGCTCATCTACCCCTGAGAAATGTGTGTTAAGATCCTTTCTGTTAAGTGACAAAGCAGTGTTACTATGTGTGAATCCACTCCTGACTCATTTTATATCCTTGTCACAATGTCAGTTTGGTACTTGCAATTGAATCTTTCATACTGTAATCGTTTTTAATTGATCTGTAATCAATTTTATAGAAGATTGGTCGTTGAAAAAATAAATATAGCTTTTAATGTCTATGTAACATCCCAAAATTGCAGTTTTCATAAAGACATTGATAGCATTTGTCTTCTTAATTTTAGAGAAATAGCCATTTTTGAAAGAGTAGCATATAATTGGATATACAATTTGATATATAGAAGTTAAACTGGATTGTTCAATTTTTAAGCATATTCTAAAATAGCCTGTTAATAGAAAATAGTCTCTATGTATCTGCTGATTATCCAAAGGGTAGGGAGGTAAATAGTACCAAATATGTCTAATCAGTCAGGAAAAAAATTACTTATGCCTGCATAGAACATAGTAAATAATCATATTTAAGTTTTTTTGCATAAAATAAATGCTTCTAGATGTTTAAAAAAAAAAAGAACATAATAAATACTTATTCTCTCATAGGAAGTGAAGCCCATCTCGGTATATTCCTGTGGTTGGAAGTGTGAGGTTTGACTAAATGAGCTAGATAACAATGATAATAAAGATAAACCTTTTCCATAATAAGAATTGACTACCCAGACAAACTAACATAGCTGCCTATATTTCTTAGGTTTTTTTTCTTAGATTTTAGATGTGCTTCGATGTTCAAATTAAAATAGAGCCTAGCCCTACAGCATAGTATTGGTATGTACTAATGATACACAAACTTACTTGGTTGAAGTCATGATGGGAAATTTTAAAGTGCCTGTATATGTATTAGTATCAGTTTACATAAAATCATGAGGTCCAGTCTTAAATTTGAAATCTTCATAGGAAAAAAATTTTTTTTCTCATTGAGTTTATTGGTACATTTTAGGTATACAGTACAGTTACATTCATCATTGGGATCTTGTACCTTTACATGACAGATCTTGTTCTCATTTTTTCCTCTTATCCCTGCCCTCCCTTCACCCCCTCGGAAAAAAAATTTTAAATGAGCAGGCAATTCACACTGTATTTCTTAAAATATAGACAATATAACTTGATGGATTTGCTAATTTGCTTCACCATTGTAACCTTTTTACTCTGTATCCCAAAACATTTGTCTACCTTAGATATATACAATAAAATATAGTTTTAGAAAATCAAACAAGCTGGGCATGGTGGTGCATGCCTGTAAACCCAGCATTTGGGAGGCTGAGGCAAGAGGCTCACCTTGAGTTTTAGGCCAGCCTGGACTATACAGTGATAGCCAATCTTAAAAATTCAAACAAAATTAAAGAAATGCAAATTAGAATTGAGGTGCCATTTCTTACCCATGACACTGGGGCGGGGGGATACAAAGTTATAACACCAGCACATCATTTAGGTGTTTGTGGAAGTACAAACTGGAACACTCTGGAGGGCAATTTGATAGTATTTAATAAAATTACATGTACACTTGCAATGCCCCTGCTACAAATCTGCCCTGAAGACAGTCCAACAGTGCAAAAGCTCCCATGCACAGGGTTACTCTGTAGCATTACTTGTAATGACAAAATACTTGAATTACCAAAATGTCTGCACAAAGCGTGTTTCAATAAAGATCCACACAATGGAGGCCTACACACAGCTCTAAGAATGTTTGAGGAAGATCTCTAAACTGACGTGACTTCCAGGATATATTGTTAAGTGAGAAAAAGTATAGGAATATCTGCAGTTTACTGTCTATACAATAAGGCAGTTTAAGAAGTATACATGTATTTGTTCATCTGCACAAAAGAGCCTTAGAATAAAGTAAAACTCGTTGCAGACTGGATAAATGTAAGTAGAAAGTGGAGTAGTTGGGATGAAGGGAGGTGACACTAATTTCAGTATGCATTTTTCATAGTTCTGACTGAACTGTGGCCATGTTGCACATAACCCTAAGCATAATGAAAATCGTGTGGGAGTTTAAAATACAAACTAGTGTGTGGAACATTGCAACACTGATAGGGGTAGGGAAGAAAACTAAATGCCTAACTGAAAAATAGTGTAATCACCATGTAAGGCTAAAGACAGGATGGACTACACAGATACTGGACTCTTACTAAGGGGCTCTGGGTTAGCAATTCTAAAACTGCCTTTTGCAGATACTAATTTGAGCAAATAAGTACATATATCATGGATAATGAGAGCAGAGTTGCTCCTTATGGAAAAGAGTTGGCAAATGTTAGGGAAGGCTAGAGTGGACTCCATGATGTCGGATTGGAATTGGAGAAGGGATAAGCTTATGGATTTTATTATACTGCAGGTGCCTAGATTTAGAAGTACAGGTAGATGCATGTGTGAGTATGCGTGCATACCTAGCTTGGTCTGCTGAAAGGGTCCAGAAGAAAAGACTCCAGGAGCAATGGGCACACCCACTGCCCAGATACTGGCTCCAAAATACCGTTCTCTAATAGAGAACTGAGGTGTTAACGAAGAGCTGGTTAGTAATTCCTGGGCTAGGACAGGCAAATGAATGAGCCTGGAACATCTTGTGATGCCAGGAAGTAAGGAAGTATTTAGATGATGACAGGGAAGTGAGGAGGCAAGTCAAACTTTACAGTCGCCATCCTTTTTATTATTGCCAACTTTGGGACAATTTAAGAAACTGATGCTAGTAATGAATTGTAAGCCATAGACTGAAAAATGCCCCGAGTTTATGTTGATAGAAATGAATAAGTTAATGTGGGGGAAGGGCAGCCCTTGTTTACATTAAAATGTAAAGACACAAGACATGCAAACAAAATCAAACAACGCAATATTGCATTGGCAAAGGCAGAAATCAGTGCTACAGCTCCTGGGCAAAACAGGACACAAAACCATATGTCTCAAACTACCTCCCCTTATTAAGGAACTATTATGAAAGGAAAAATACTAAGACAGTGGGAAAACGCGAAAGACACCACCTTCAAGTAGTAAGTCCTGAGGACAGCAGGCACCTCCTTCTGGGATGCATCGTGGAGGGCTCAGTTGTGTAGCATTGCCGGAAATATGTAACCTCAGCCTAGTCAGGAAAACTCTAAGTGACGTTCTACAAAGCATGTATCTAGGAGTCCACAGATACCAATGCTGTGAAAGGTAAGAATGAGGAACTGTAAGGAGCGGAAGCGGACCTGACAAGTCAACCCAGCAATGTGGTGCTGACTTGGATCCTGGACCACAAAAAAAAAAATACATCTGTGAATTAATGAAATTTTAATCATGTTCATTTCCTGACTTTCCTGATTGTTCTATAGTTGTGCCAAATGCTAACATTGAGGGGTAGGTGACAATTAAATGCAAACTGCTGCTTCTGAAATTTTCTGTAATTGCCATTTCTAAATAATAGGCTAAAAAAATTATGGAGCCAAAAGTCAGTGCAACAATAAAATTGAAGTGGCCTTATTTTTCTTCTAATGCTAATGTCTTGCCTGGTGATTGTACCTGTCTTCAAATACTTCTCTTGTAATTAGTAAAAAGAACACATTCTCAAAAGCAAATATTCTTGCCAGGCATGGTGGCACACGCCTGTAATCCCAGCACTCAGGAGGCTGAGGCAGGAGGATTGCTGTGAGTTCGAGACCAGCCTAGGCTACATAGTGAGTTCCAGGTCAGTCTCAACTACATAGTGAGACCCTGTCTCAAAAAAAAAAAAAAAAAGCAAATATTATTTTCTAAACTATTTTTCAAAGCACTAGAACCAAAGTTATGCCCTTCATGAGGCATATAAATCAGTGTTTATTT